CTCTACATCGATCTGCCTGTTCTGCTCCCCGCTCTGTACCTAATGAATCCTCTACCCTCTACATCTCTGCCTGTACCCCAGTTCTGTATGAATAAATAAATAAATCTTTAAAAAAAAAAAAACTGAAAATGAAAATTACCTTAGGACCTGGCAATCCCATTCATGGGTTGATATCCAAAGAACATGAAACCATCAACTGAAAAAATTACATGCTCTCCAATGTTTAAGCAGCATTAGTTATAATAACTAGGCTATGCATGCAACCTAAGTGTCTAATGTTAGAGGGCTGGATCAAGAAGGTATGATATGTCTACACAGTGGAAAACTAATGTTTAGTCACAAGGAAAGACAAAATATACCATTTATAGAAAAACAGAAGGAATTTGAGAGAATATGTGTAGTAAAGCAAGTTAAAAAGACAAACATTTGAGATTTACATAGGCTATTCAACAAAGCAAAATACAAAAATTAGCAGACATTAATAAAACAAGTGAAGTTTCTGAGGTGAAGAAGGAGGAGGAGAAAAAGGATTACAAGAGATGGTGGCAAGCAAAAAAGATGTAAGTTCAATAAAAAGTAAACAAAAAATTAAAAAATTAAAAAATTAAAAATTAATGGTATACCACACCAGTGTGGTGATACATTAGTAATTTCAAATTCCAATTATGATACATGTTTTCACATTGCTGTCAGCTGAAAAAAAAAAAAGAATACTGGAAATACAAAAAACAAAGTTTAAATAAATTGTATTTACAAATAGTAAAACCCAATGTAAACAAAACACATACCTAGGCATTAAACTCCTATTTTTTTCATAAAACATCCTTAAGTCTTGAGGACTATTGGCCTGTTTAAAAAAAAAAATTTTAAAGGTTTAATTTTCTTAAACTATACAGGCAAGACTAACAAATCACATGACCAATGATCAAATTCTTACTACAGAACACAGATTCTGACTTGAAAGCAATGAATGTGAATCACAGGTAGGCACTAAGAATTTATAAAACTTCTAAAATTATATGCAAATTATGCACATCTAGGCATAATGTATCTTTTCTGAGGTGAGATTCTAAGTTCTAAAACTTACAAATTAAGAACCACTATTTAGAAGAGTACATACCTATCCAACAATACATTTTTATTGTATAAAATTGGGGTGTATTTTACCTTAGGCCCTGAAGGGATTCAAGGAAGAAAGCTAAGAATATTGTTTTATTTCAGTCTTTCCACAGCAACAGAGTTAGCACTCTTATGAGAGGAACTGTATGATAAAGCTGCATCTACATATAATCTAGGCTGAGAAATTAGTGTTTAAACTGGCTGAGGCTGGTTTTTTACACACTCTGAGTAAGTAATTTCAACTTGTTCCAGTTTTCAGATTCAAAAAACCTCTTTATAACTGAGAAATATCAATTCAAGAGTAATCATTATGGTTATATATTCCAGAGGACCTCTTTTGACAAGATGTTAGGAAAGAAAGACAAGCCCAAAATAATTCCCATTAATTCAAAATAATTTGCTCTCTCACCCAGTAGCAATAATAACAGAGAATTGGTGACAGTTTCCTACAATCTTCTCAGACCAGTCCTAGTGCTCATTTAGATTCCAGGCTAAGCAGGGAATGTACTGACATCACTGTTCACACCCATTTCCCAACAGACTGTTAGCCTGAACCTGAATGGTTTTCACTAGCCTGGAAATCATAAGAAACGCTTCACACCTAGTCTAAATTTGAAGGAAAGGCAGTAAAAAATGGAAAAGATAAAAATGTTCTGGTTCTGGGCCCTCCCTGGTGGCGCAGTGGGTTAAAGCACAGCACGGAAAATCTAAAGCCGCTTCCACATGAGTTCGATTCCCGCCTGCCCCGGAGGTGACCACATGGCGTGGCAGACCTCTCCTGACCCGCCCGCTGCTCCCCTCAGCAGTGTACTTCATCGATTTGCCTGTTCTGTTCCCCATTCTGTCTCTGGTGAAGCCTCTCACCGCCCCTGAGCCTCTGGCTTGCACCCCAGTTCTGTATGCACAAATAAATAAATCTTTAACAAAAAAAAAATGTTCTGGCTCCATAGCAACTTTATTCCGCAAAAAACCCCAAATAAGTAATAAAGGAACCAAAAACATTGCTTTCAAAGTAATCCCATTTTATAAGTCAAAGGCAACTGCAACAAAATAAAATCCCAAAACTGAGCACTAAGAAAAAAGGTCTCAGCTTACCTGAAAAGGTGGCTTTCCAACTAGGCATTGATATATCACTGTTCCTATGCTCCACAAGTCTGCCTTAGCATCATAATGCTGAGACATAATAACCTCAGGTGCCTGGAGATAAAAACATTCAAGCCACAAGCTATTTTATATATTTGATATGCATTTATTAATCAGTTGGTAAAGATCATACTCTAAAAAACTTGTAAAATAAAAATAATACATTATGATATTTCCCTAATAAAATGATCCTGCAATGAACTTAGAACTACATTCTTACATTGAGATTTACTGGTAAATCTCCAAAACAATGTTACATGAAAAGAAATTGTAGAAAGAAACATTATACAAATACAGTTAAAAGTTTTAAAATAATAATTTTAAAAATCACATC